AAAGACAGAATTTTTCTGAGACAGATGGAAGACAGGACACTGAGCAAGACAAAAGTCACAATAACTTACTCCCAATATGGACTCCCAAAAATGAATGAGCATGAAATATAGGGAAAGAATCCTAGATTACCTAAGAAAGGTAACATAAAAGCTACATATCCCAGTCTTACTGGGTAGTACTTATTTGGGGGGCTTCTTTATGGCCTCTTTTATATAAAGTGTATTCTAAAAAAAAAACAAACAATTAATACTTAAGTGTAATGTGCATTCAAACATGAGAGCCACTGAAGAAATTTAAATCCAAACCTCTCAGTGCTCTTTCCTTACTACCAAAGTAAGAAATGTTCTAAGTATATAAATAGTACACCTGAGTATCTGCCTTCCTTTCAGTATTTTACACAGAGGAGGCATTCCCTAAAGTGATGAAATGGTATTCATTAAGAGGTGATCAGCGGTAAGTTGGCAAAGGCTAGGAAAAGAAATAATAGAGTTTCTAATAACAAAGCCTATTAATGTTGAAAGGAAACTCAGAGGATGCCAAGAAGGTTTCAAGCAGTAGGATGAGGGAAAAAGCATGATGCATCAACTCCATAAAGAGGAGGCAAGTGTGAATTAGAGAAAGGGGGCTTGCATTCTGCTACCAATTAAGTGCTTACTATTATGAGAGCTAAAAACTCTTTAAAATGAATAAATGGGTTAAATAGAATGGGGATTACCATTTAAGTAGAGCATTCTAACTCTGCTTCAGATCATGGGAATTCTACAAAATCACAAAGGAGAGAATTAGCTGAACAAAATAGTTTAATTTAATGGGAAATTTATTTCAGCAGAGAAGCTAAGGAAAATTTCTGGAGTTAAGTAATGACATTTAGAATTAGGAGACGTTTATGTAAAAGCAATGTCCAAGGATAAAGTTAAGTAATAAGAATTTTCAGAAAGACCTAGAAAAATCTGAGATAGAGACCTGAGGCACTTGAGAAAGAAGAACAAAGAAAATGTAAGCTCTCTCTATATAGGAAATAATTAGAATAGTAGAATTTGACCTAAATTAAATGAAAATATTACACACGCCTATGAGTATAAGCATAGGAATACACACACACATGCACGCGTGCACACACACACACACACTCCTTCCTACCTTAGAAATCCCCCCAAAGACTGAGATCAAAATGTTACTTCTGTTCCTCTTCTAGTCTAATTAAAACATGAAATGTTGCCTATTGCCTGTTATCATTTTATGCATATTATGGGTTAAATAGAAAAATTAATACTAATTGAGGGTGTCACTACACTGCAACATTTACTTAACTAAGTCAGAGGAATAGTGATTATTAAAACAAGGCATAACTCCAAATTATATACTGTACCATATATGCTAATCTGGGAGGAAAAGCCAAAGTCTTAACCAGTGTTCCCATAAAAGGATGCTCTTATAAACTCTAAAATTTAAGCCCCATTCCAGAAATTAAATTATACACCAAAATATTTTCTCAAAATATAAAAGCCTTTTAAGCCATAAAAAGGATAAAAATTCATAAAATGAAAAAATAAAACTTTCCAATTATAAAATTTCCTCACAAAACCTCTATTGTGTTTTAGTTCTCCATTGATTTAATTTGGATTTTTTTTTAACAAACTTGAGTGGTTGGAATCATCTTTTTAATTTAAATTTCATAAGAAAGAGAATCACAATGCACATACCCTGACCAGATTGTGTGTGGCCTATTTATTCAAAATGTTTGATTCCATACGGATTCCTTCTCTCTTGTTTATAACTTCCAGAAAGGATTCTCTCTAGTAAGTTAGCAACTCAAGGGCAACCAATTTGAAATCCAGACCCTGAGAGCACAGTATCTTAGGTCTGTCACCTGCAGTGTTTTCTAGAAGGACCAGGGAAGACACACAAAGCTCAAACTTCTGTGTAGAGCATGAACCAAGCATGAGCCACAAGTGGGTGGTCCACTGAGGTCAGGGTTAAAGTTCACAGAATAATTTGGAAATTATTCTCAGCTTGGATCTCATTTATGAGGCCTGAGAATACACCCTTTAATTAGAATACAATTTCCAAAGCAGCCACTCCCTTGACTTTCCAGAGCTCAGTTATTCTCAGAAAAGAAAAGTAAAAACAGCCTCATCACACTGACAGCTAACAGTCCCCTATAAATTATGCCTTAAATGTCCGACAAAGAAGGCAGCAGGCATCAGGGAAAATGGAGATGTTAGCTGCCAGACCTCACTAACCACTCTCAAGAATAGACAGAGAAAAAGAAGTCATATTAAACAGAGTAACCCTCCTTCACTTCTTGCTTATGCTGCTAAGCTGTCCCATGGAAGCTTGGAAAAAGAGTGGGTTGTGCATTTGAAAATGTTCCCACACCCCAGCCAGCCTCATTTTTCTGATGATCCCTCCATCCAGCCAACCTCGCATTACAGTGGGAACACTAAAATCAATTCCATGAGAGCCAGCTGTCCGCCTCTTCCACAGTGCTCAGGGAGCCACACAGGACTTCTGGAAAGGGAGCCAGCCCAATCCTGACTCACTACTGCAGATGTTCCCCTCCTCCCCCATGCAGCTCTGAGCCAGAGTCTTCTTTCCAGGGCCTATTGTTATTAAGAAAGATTTACGGGGCCCCAAAAATGTGCTGGACGCTGAAGCAAGGGGAAAACACACATCTCCCTAACTGTGGGGTGAAGAGAGACAGACATTAAATTATGCGGAGATGGCCAATGACGCTATGTCGAGCAAGCAGCTTTGCAGAGTTTAGTATCTGGGAGTTGGAATAGCAGAAGCTATCACAATATCAAACTTGCAAATGATATCCAGACTTGAGTCGGGTTTAAGATGACATAAAATGTTCCATTTCGGCAAATCCAGATATCAAATTTTTCTGTAGACCCAACAAAGTCGTCTTGTCTAGAAAAATGTGACCAGGAAAATAACAAAAATATAGTTTTTGAAATTTGTAATCATAATTCAGAGTCCAAGGTCACCCACAAATATTTGGAAATACTTGTCAGCTTATTTTCAGGCAGGAGCAGTATTACCGTCTTTTGCCATTATCTTTTGTATAGCCATTCATCTGTCAGTTTTCCCAGCAGCCCTCTCAGAGGGGGCCTTAAATCTCTCTCTCTGCGTTCCTTTAGTGCACATTAGTAGGAAACTAGACAGTTGTTCCCCAAAGCTCCAGTGTCCCATGGTACAGGCTGCATCATCTCAATAAAGAAACTATTTCATGCAATTTACAATATTTTTATCACTGTCCACTTAACCATTATAGACAATAGAGTAGTTCATTTTAAATCCATTCCCTTCAACGGTATGAATTCTGTGACTAAAATGAGCTTCACCAAATAGCACAAAAAAATTTTTAACACTTTAAAAGGACTCTTCATATTCTTACACAACAGTGCTTGTATTTTGGATTTTGTTCTAAGAGTTCTTATTCACGTTTTCCTAGGATAGGCTTTGAGAAGAAAATTAGGGAACTAAATCAATTAAATGAAATACACACACAAAATTCGGTGACTTGAAAAAAAAAAAAATGAGGCATCAATCATGTCCCCTCAAAAGGTGGAGTTAAAATTCTCTAAGACCTCTTCTACCTCTCACTAACTCTCTGAGTGTTAGAAAATCACAGATCAAATATGTCAGTATCTCACAAAACTCTAAGTTTTACAACAGCAGAGTCCATATTTAGATAGAAGATAACTAATATATGTTTTGGGGATAAATGTTTACTTGAAATGATGTTTATTTGATTCTTTGGAAAAAGCTATATAAATCTTGCTCCTCACTAATTTCTGAGTCTCCAAGACAAAAGTGTAAAAACCCAAAATGGTTCTAAAATTAATCTAATTAATCTAAAGCACACACACTTTTAGAGCTTTTGTCTGATAACTTGAAATTTCTTTCAACGGTGTGTTTATTGTTACTGTTTTTTTCACTTAGCTGGTTTCCTCTTCCTTTTTTTTCTGCTTTATTCTGTGTGGTTTTCAGCTAGGGACAGATACTGGGCCTTCTAGAGAGGAAAGGAAATGTGCCAAGATTCAAAGTAAGTGTAATATGTAACACAAGAAAGCGGCTATATTATGAAATTTTATAAGTGGAAGAACTGAATTAGAAAAATAAAGTAAAACAACACTTGATTCCCAATAAGGAATTCTTCTCCTCTATCGACTTTAGACAACTTAAAATGAGACATGGTAACTTGGTTACCATGAATGAGAATTTCAAAAGATTTTGAAATTCAGGATCAAAAAATTTTGAAATGCAGGCTCTTCCAGATATGGCATGGCAGTGATCTTTACACTTACACATTAACTACAAAGAATAATTCATTACATGCCAAATTCATCTTGAACCCACCTGGGGAAACTTAGCAATGGGAAAGTACGCTCCAGGTCTGGAGCAGAACCTGACACGGAATCAGCATTCTGAATAGCGCCCAAAAATTCTGGTATTTCTGGGCACGCCTAGAGTAAACTAAAAATATACCAAAGCCTTTGTATATATTCTACAGAGCAATTTTAGGAAGAGGAAGTGAACAAAAAGAAACCAAGTAGTGATAAAAATGTTATTGTAAAAAAAAAGTTTGGAATCACGTGTCTAGAAGAACAGGGACCACATTGCCATTACCAAAATACTACTCATTGTCCTTTAGCTCTGTCTTTTTTAGGTTCACAGTGCATGTATACTTAAGAGTTGTCTGACTTCCACTTAGTTGCTGCTCAAGAAGGAATTAAGTTTTGTCTAAATCTCTCCGAGAATCAAGTCTAAAATTTACAGGTCATTTCTTCCTTTCTAAAGAAAAGATGAAAACTGATAGTATTATTATATCCTAGTTTTAGCTCTATATTTTAAAATAGTCATAAAAACACTTTCAGATAAACTCTGTTTATTTACAGATTTCCAGCAGAATTATATGGGACAATTAACTGAGAGCATATTATCATAGTCATATCCCCAAATCACTCCAATTTTCTCTAAGAATACTTACTTCTGATGAGTTCATCATCTGAACAATTTCCCCAGATGGACTGGTCTTGCATCTCTCCATGTGTGAGGCAGCTATTGGTAGCTTGAGTTATATCTCTTTCAGTATTTTCTTTATCACATTTTTCTGAATAAAAAAAATATATATTTATTGTCATTAAATGTTACAGATTTTTCTCTATTTTTTTCATTTTATAGATTTTTTTCTAAATGCTTCTTAGTCTACAATAATTTAAGGAAATGGGTATGACTATTGACTGTTGCATATGTTATTGATTCAATAACAGATATTCACTGAGCACCTACTGTGTGCCCAGCATTGAGGACACAGAGATGTTTACAGTAAAAATAACTTAAGATTATTGTAAACAAATCATCATAACAGAGCAAGTGATCTGCCATGATAGAGAAATGTGGAGAGGTTACATCAAGGATGAAAGTAAGTCCATACACGTAGAAAGCAGGGCGACAGGGAAAGCATCAAAGGAGAAGAGACCCCAATGAGTGGTGGAGATGAAAGTCAGGCTGCAGTTGAATGAGGAGTGACTCAGAAGTAAGAAAGTAGAGAAAGCAAGTACAGGGTTCTCTCAGTAGAAACTTAGGAAAGAGTCAAGGATTGTGTTATGCATTCTCAGAGAGGGAGGGCATTTAGGATGAGAGATTTATACGTGGATTTATGGGTTCTCAGTGGGAAGGACAATAAGTCAGGAAAAGTAACATCTTATTGGGAACATAACTCAAGCAAAAAGCAAACTCTACCACAAGGTAAAATGCAGGCTATGAGAGGTCAGAGCACTAAAGAGGTTAAAAGGAAGAAAAAGATACTTATCAGAATTCAGAGCTCAAGAAAGACACTACAGAAAAATGTGTACGTTAACACGGTCTTTAAAAGATTAGCAGGAGTTCTAAAAGTAGAAATGGAAGAAAGGCCATTCCAGGTGGAAGAACAGCATGGGCAAACTCAAAAAGCAGACCTTCCAAAGGTTTCAACTCTCTGGACTATGAAATATTTTAAGGGGGACATTAGGAGATGGAACTGTAAAGGTTTGATTAGGATGGATATTTGAATGCCAAGGTGAGAAATCTGGACCTAATTTAAAAGCAAGATAAATAAGTCAAAGTAGCCATTGAAGCTTTATGAATTGCCTAATTAGAGCCATGCATTAGGAAGATTAATAAATTTGTGCACACCAGTGGTTCTCAATCCTGACTGTACTTTAACTCACTTGGGAGGCTTTTTAAAAAACAGATTCCTGATCCCCACCACCAAAGATTCTATTTCAGTTTGGGGTAGGGGCGCTTAGGTGATTCTACTGCACTTACATCCTTAAAGAATCACTGGAATATGGATCCATCCAAGAGGGAGAACAGAGTAAGAGAAACCAAAAGGGAGACTCAGCATGGTCCAGGTAGAAGTTGATGACAGTTTAATCAACTGGATAACAAGACCGGAAAGGCGGTAAATGTGAGAAAATAACTATAGAGGTTTGCATGGATAATCAGGGAAGATGGGTGAAAATGACTGAGTTCTCTTAGTTTGGATTTGACTGAGAAAACCTGGAGACCAGGAAAATAATTTATTAATCTAAAAAAGTATCTATTTGTAGATATTAGATGTTTAGGCATTGTGCTAAGCAGTGGGGATATAACGAATTATGAGACGCAGCCCAGGTCTTCATGGAGTTTACAGGCTAGTGGATGAGTTTAGTGTTGCACATTTGAATTTGCAAGTCACAAAGTTATAGCCAGAAGCAGTGGTCTTCCTAAACTTGATTGTTAACGCTGTTTAAATGAATGGGCTCACCAAAAAATGAGTATATTATAAAAGAAGAGTGCCACGAGGGGTCTGTACAATTAGAAGGGAATCAGATGAGGAAGAGAAGCTGGATGATGTCAAGCCATGGAAGCAAGGAAAGGAAAGAGATTCAAACAGAAGTTGTTAGTCAACTGTGTTAACATTTCCAATGGAAGGAAAAAATTTCTGCACATGCAAAAATTTCTCATGTACCATCGAGATTTCATAACAACTGAAAAGTTCTGCCATAAAACACATTTCAACACGTGAAAATAGATGGACACCCACTTAGGACTAAGTCCAGAGGCTAAGATCTCTGAAAAAAATAGAGTCTTCAATACGAAGCATTTTTAGTATCAAAACCATATTCAGATAGCAGTAAAATATAAATTACAAGTATGCTAAACCATCTTCTAGATTTATGTAACATTTATTCAGCATTATCATAGAGAAAATGTAATCTTCCTGAGATGTGTTAGTTTCAATTAAAAATCTTTACTTTTTTAAACAACTCCGGAAGTCTTTCCACTGCCACAGTCAACTCAAGGCCTTTCTGAGATCATCGACAGAAGAGATTTTTATACAAACTCTCTAGTACACATGAACTCGCTCATCAGCAGAGTCCTACATACTCGCTGCTACTGTTATGTAGCTGACTGCCGCCAGGTGTCATGCTTGTAGGCTTGATTCAATTAGTAACTTTAATTGAAGCTGAATGAAATTAATTATATAATTTTGAGCTGTTCAAGTTTAATTCCATTAAAATTAATTCATGAAACCAGGGCATTATGAAGCATTGCTGACTAAAAGAAAATAGGTATGAATAAAGCCTCTAGACACACTTGACTCACATTTGAATCATGTCCAATATTCGAGTGCTAAACACAGACCCTCTCAACTCTCCATTGAATAAATGAAAATGTCATGTGGTCCATAAACACACAGATTTAGTAGTGACCCACTACTAAAAGGAAAATAAAGTTCTTCCTGCTCTAAATATTTATTAAGCGGCAGTTTATCATATGTTTTTTTTTCCTTGTTTCCTTATCTATGAAATTCTAGAATTAGAAGATTCCCCAGTGTCCTTCTCAACTTAAAAAAGAATAGAAAAACTATCATTCTCTGTCTCATTATATTCAAGAAATAATAAATACTATGTAATTATTATTAAGTCACAATCATCAGTCTATCCAAATTTGCTTCCTTTGAAAGCTAAATGTCTTTGTTCATAAGTTGGTCTCTGCCTTTTGCTATGATACATAGCACCCAGCCCAAAGTGAGGCTCAGAAAAGGTTCCAAGTATAAAATTTAAATTGACTTCTGCCAATTCTCCACTTCTATTGGTCTCCACCAAACTTCTGTGACCACTTGACTGTTCTCTGACTTTCCCTCCATTATTTTGTTAACATCTCTTAATATTTAATGGAACACCTATATGCCAGCCTCATAAATGGTGCCCAGTTACATCTAACACTGAAGAAAGGCACTGAGAGTGAGCGAGATTTAATTGATAGACATTTGTAAGATGGGCACCATGATGTCCAGCCACAGAATCAACCTTACTACAACTTTCAATAGGTGGGGTCATCCACTACTCATTAAGATGACAAAATAGCAGATTTCTGTTACCAGTGCAGGTTTGCTATGTCACTTCTGAATTACAGAAGCAGAGCACAGTCCTAGTTTAATCAATTCCTTTCTGGGCTTATGAAGGTTTGTAGTTGCAATTCAACTATTATGTGGGCCTGAAAGACACATCCCATATGCAATCAAGTAATTTCAATGATGTATGAAATCAGTCTACACATTTCTACAAGACTGCTATATATACATCCAACAAGCACTCCTCCCCAACTTGGCAATTTTCTTTTAAAAGGGGGCCTTCATCATCTCAATGATGCTGTTCTTCTAAGCCAATGGTTCTCTACTGTAGAGCTCTTTAAACATAAAGATGCACAGGTCCCAACCTCAGAGATCCCAAGTCAGGTGGTGTGTGTGGGGGGGTGGATGTCATCATCATATATGGCCAGGTTTGAGGGGCACTGTTCTAAGTAAACTCTTCTGTACCACACAATTTAGAGAAAACCTAGAAGAGTCTATCAAATATTGAGATACAGACCTTGCTTCTCATCACCTTGTCACAGTATTCCATTAATCAGAGAATACAATTTTATCTAATCACTAACTAACATATAGGTATTTAGTTCTGTCTCCATGTCAGGACAACTATGAGAATACAAAACCTGAATTATATACAATACTAATCAGTTCTACTAATAGATGAATATATAAGAGATATGTTTTGAAGATTAAAGTAAAAATTGAAGACACTTTAAAAATAGCACTAGACCAAAGTCAAATACCACTGGCATCCACTTTCAAAAGGCTAGCTCCCAAGTATACTAGTGTGCCTACTCTGAACACAGAGTGCAGAAGAATCTTTAGATGAGGAAGAAAAAAGCCCAGTCTCTGACAACAAGTCCTCCAATTGGAGAAACCAAACATACACACGAAACAATCAAGCCAACTACAAAGCAGAAGGTAGTGACAACCGCCCTGGGTTGCAATTCTGGCTCAAAGACTGACCAGCTGTGTGACTGGGGCTGCCCCTCATTCTCTTCATCAGGAAACCAGGGCGTTGAACTGGATGGTTGCAGAGGCCTTTTTTGGCTCTCAAATTCTATAAATCTGACTCTGTACAAGGGCTAAACAATAGAGCCAAAACACACTCACGGGTGTTTAGAATGGAGTAGAGGAAATCAGAGAAAAGCCTTTGTAAGGCATTGGATTTGAGTTAATTCTCAAAGAAAGTGACGAGCATGAATTAAGCAAAAGAATCAAAGGAAAAAATAAGAGTTCTAAGCGATCAATTTAAATACAATATATTCTATTCAGAAATGACTATCTATTCTACAGGATCAATACTCTTTATTTTTTAATATTTTTCTAATTTTCTAAAGAAGGGAATGAATGGTGAGAAGCAAATTCTCTCCAATCTCAATTATTCCTGCTGAAGGAGAATGAGATTTGGGTAAATAGAACTCCCATTTAATTTAAAATTCTATAATATTTTACCTAGTTGGCATTATCCAAATTTACAACTTTGAGAGTTTTACTTGTCTCAGAGAGTTGGGGAATAAAATAAATGAATGGTGATTAACAAGAGAAAAATCTGAGTATCAGAAATAAGTAAATTGGATAATAATATATGTAAAGTATTATATATGCCAAATAACAGCCACTCAGCTTGTATGTAGTCGTTAAAAAAGTAAAAATAAAAACTTAAATACTTCCTTTTGCTGAAAGAATAAATCAAAGAATTTTTGAAATTA